TCTTGACTAAAAAAATTGTAATATTAACAAAAAAAGTGGTACTCTTGACCAAAAAATTGTACTGTTAACCCAAAAAAGTGGTACTCTTGACTAAAAAAATTGTACTGTTAACCTAAAAAATGCTACTCTTATCTTAAATAGTGGTAATGTGAACCAAAAAAGTGGTAATATTATCAAAATTATGGTATTCTTAACCAAAAAAGTGGTACTCTAAATTAAAATAGTGGTAATGTTAACCATAAAAATGGTACTCTTAACCAAAATAATGGTAATGTTAACCAAAAAAGTGGTATTCTAAATTAAAATAGTAGTAATATTAACTAAAAAAGTGGTACTATTGACCAAAAAAAATTATAATGTTAACCCAAAAATTGGTAGTTTTCACCAAAAAAACTTGTACTGTTAATCTAAAAAATGGTACTCTTAACCAAAAAAATTGTACTGTTAACCCAAAAAGTGCTACTCTTATCATAAATAGTGGTAATGTGAACCAAAAAAGTGGTAATATTAACCATAAAAATGGTACTCTTAACCAAAATAATAGTAATGATAACAAAAAAAATGGTTCTCTAAATTAAAACAGTGATAATGTTAACAAAAAATATGGTACTCTTGACTAAAAATATTGTAATATTAACCCAAAAAGTGGTACTCTTGATCAAAAAAATTGTGCTGTTAACCCAAAAAGTGGTACTCTTGACCAAAAACATTATACTGTTAGCCCAAAAAGTGCTACTCTTATCATAAATAGTGGTAATATGAACCAAAAAAATAGTAACATTATCAAAATCAGTGATACTCTAAATTAAAACAGTGGTAATATTAACTATAAAAATAGTACTCTTAACTAAAATAATGGTAATTTTAACAAAAAAAATGGTACTCTAAATTAAAATAGTGGTAATGTTAACTATGAAAATGATACTCTTAACTAAAATAATAATAATGTTAACTAAAAAAGTGGTACTCTAAATTAAAACAGTGGTAAATATTGGTCTGACTTTTGTTTTTCTCCTTCTTCTTAGTTTTTTTTTTTAAAGATTTTACTATAATCTCAATCTTTAATTTAATAAATTATGATTATTTTATAATCTCTTGAAGGTTCATAGGATAAATACAATTTGCAACTCCATATTTCTCCTACTTCTGAGTTTTTTACTCTTAACAAAAACAAGTGGTAATCAAAATGGTAATGTTAACAAAAAAAAAAAAAGAAAAATGTACTCTTAACCAAGGTAATGTTAACCAAATTGATATTCTTCATCTAAATAGTGGTTTGACTTTTATTTTTTTCCTTCTTCGTTTTCTCCTTCTTCATCTTCTGAGTTTTTTTTTTTTTTTTTTTATGATTTTACTATAATTTCATTCTTTATTTTAATAAATTATGATAATTTTATAATCTCTTGAAAGTTCATAGGATAAATACAATTATGCAACTCCATATTTCTCTTTCTTTCCAAGTATTTTGCAACTCTTTCTATGTTTTTTTTTATTTATGATATCATAAATCTGGGCAGCCAATAAAAAGTGTTAAATTTAATCAACGGTAGAAATTATTCGTTATATATCAACCGTTCATTTTATTTTTTTAGCATCATACCAAAAAATATTTGACAGAATCATAGTCAAACCCCTTGTTAGGTGGCTCAATCACGCACAAATCTGATTGCACATCTGATGGATTGGATGTTTTCTCTGTAGAATTCTTTTACGAAGGACTTGACTATGGTACAGTCAAAAAAAAATTGTACTACCATATCTCAAAAATTTATGACTTTAAAAATTATTTTTATAATTTTTATGGGTTATTTTATAATTAAAATATTTATTATTTTTATATGTATTTTTACCACTAGTGTGAATATTTTTATTACATTTGTAATAACTATTTTTACCATGTTTCTTAAATACCAAAAAAATTATCACTTTTGTAACTGATTTACAATATTTGTAAGTATTTTTACAATATTTTGTGAATATTTTTATCACATTTATAATAAATATTTTTATCATTTTTTAGGGTACTACGATAATAGTAAAACTATCCAAAAATATGATAAAAATTACCACAAATGTGATAAATCTCTATATGGTACCGAAAAACATGTGAGATGTACCGTAGTCTACTCCTATATAAAAGGATGCTCAGCCTTGATTGAAGACATCGGAAATCAGAAGCTTTTTTTTATTGTAGAGAGTTGGGAGGCATCTGACAGGGGGTGATATCCAAATGATATCGGTGAGGTCATAGTGCATTTTCATTAGTAAGAGTGAGTACTTGTGAGGTAAGAAACAGTTATTCTTATATTATTATTTTACTTTATAGAAAAAAAATTTGATCATTGTTTGTCGTGAACGTTGGCAATAGTTGAACCACATAAATATCTTTTGTCCATTTGTGTGTGTGCCTTACTTATTTTCTATCACTTTATTATTTACCTCAATACTCAAATCTTGGATCCATTGTAACATTTTATTCTCCCAAATACATATACATTTTCTTTTCAATCTAACATTCTAATTTTGCAGAATCAGATTATTAGAAAAGTTGACTATTTCATTTTTTTTAAATATTCGGGTAGTGTTTTAGTAACTACAACACGCAGGTAGATTTGACAAACTTCACTGCATATTGTTTTTGGAAACTTCATTTTACCCCCTTGTGGTTTGACCCATCTGCACATCACCTCCCTCATGTTCTAAAATGGCACTTTAACGCCCTTGTGGTTGATAGACCAAAATGCACTGTTAACTCTGTTAACATTTACATTAAAATGACTTTAATACCCATCAATTTATTTTTTAATTTTTTTAAAAAATATTATCCCAAAATAACCCCCGGCAACCTAGCCATCATCGTCGTTACCATTAAATCCGGCATCCCAGCCTTTCCTGAATTTCGGCAATCATAACTCCATCACCCACGGCAGCCCACAGCCTACACCATACAGGCTGGTGCATCTTCTCAATTCATACCTCAACACAACTCAAAAATTGTATTTTAACATCTCAATTCCATTGTTTTTCCAAAAAAAGAAACATGAATAAAAAATAAATTGAATTTAGAATCAAATTGAAAATCAAAATCAAAACCAAACACAATTGGGTTTTTGTTGCTGCTACCTCCCATGGCAGCTCACCACCTTGATGGTGTTTGTTGATAAGAGAGGAGAGAGAAGATGGATGAGGAGACAAAGTTAGTGAGGGTATTTTTTGTCTTTTTGTAATGTGTTTTTTTTATACCAAGTTGCTTAACATGCATGTGAGATACACCGATCGTTAAAATAGATGAAAAAATTAACAGTGCATTTTGGTCCATCAATCACAAGGGGGTTAAGTGTTATTTTAGAACCTGAGGGAGGTGATGTGTAAATGGGTTAAACCACAAGGGGTAAAATGAAGTTTCCCCTATTATTTTTAAGAAAATGGTTTTATACTCGATTTGAACAATTTTTAGTATTGACGAGCCCAAACCCACCAACAGATCACCCATAATGGAATTATTCTCATGAGAACCGATCAAGATTACGTACACATCAACTGCTACACTACGTGCTCATTAATGGAATCATGCCTATGTTGACATATTATTTCACATCATGATTTTCAAAAGAGCAGTGTTATTAAATCTATTTTATTGATTTAATTTATTAATCTAATTCACTATAATATTTAGACGGATTATGAGATCCTATCAAATATTAAAATTTGATGTTGATTCAATAATTTCAAGAAAATTATATCATAAAGTCGATAAATTAATTCAAAATTTTAAATTTAAATAGTATTACTGTTTCTGAAATTTGACCCTTGGACAGTAATATGATACTGTATTAAAAGCAAGAAGCTATTTTTAGAAAATTAAATTAGCTGCAATTCTAATATTGCATACATGGAGAAGTCTACGGTCCAAAAAAAATTTAAAAATTCAGTACTATACCACTAGGCCTGTCAAGGGATCAGGTTTGAATAAGATATTTATTGATTAGAAATCAAATATGAATTTGAAAGTCTGATTGGAATTCCATGGATTTTATTTTTGTGGTTCATATTTGAATCCGCTAACAATTCGATGATTTGATCTAATTCGAATAATTGAATTTAACTAAATTTTAACCAAATTTCTTCGAATAATCATTTAATTTTTTTAATATTTTTACAAAAATATATAAATATTTTAAATTGAATTATAGTCGGATCGAATATAAGTATATCTAAATTAAAATCCGTAAAATATAAGATATTGAATTTAGATAATCAATAAAAAATAGCAATCCCTATCCATCTATATCGTATTCGGGTTCAGATCAAATTTGGATCAAAATCTAATCTATTGACATGCCTATATACCACCTTTAAAAAATTTTATAATTGTTTTACCACTTTTGAAGGTTATTTAAAGCTTTTGTGATAACTTACGTTCGATCACATCGTTACCACAAAAGTGATAATCCAAAAATTATAACTCAAATTTTAGAAATTGTAACATAACCTAATTTTTTTTATAGTAAACAAATTAAAAAATTTGTATCAAAACCCACAAAAATTATAAAATTCAAAGCAACCGTACCGAAATTATTTTCGGTAACATAGTCTTCTCCTCCAAATCTTTCCCCAACTTACGACGAATTTTCCTTAAAAAGTAAGGAGCTTTTGTGTAATTTTGGCAATACTAGGTGATGATCGTGTGATTATGAGATTACTTGGGGGATGCCTGTGTAATTTCTCAAAGTAGAAAACATGAGGAATGAAAGAGAACAAATTTCAGACGAAAGCTCTTGTTTGGTCTTCAAATTAACGCAACACGCCGCACAAAAGCATCCTTGTTCTTTTCTCAGCAACTTCTTTCATATGATCTTAACCACAATAGTGTTGACCATTAGTATCCATAGACATCCAAGCAAGGACAATATAGATTTCTACAACATCCTTGTATATATAGCCTTCTCCTCTCTATTTCCTCTTCAAAAGTGAAGGTACACACATCGTTAACATATCAGACAAGCCAATTTCGACATATTTCAAATCTTGGCACCAGCATGTCTTCAATTAACTCAAATGATCTGCACCGGATTTTTGAAAAGCTTGACAAAAATGGGGATGGCCTTGTGAGCCTGGATGAGCTCCAATGCCTTCTCGAGAGAATTGGCCTCCACTCTAGCCTAGACGAGCTCGAGTCATCGTTGGGCAAAACTAGTCTTGACCCCTTTGATTTTTCGTTCTTTTATGACAGTGTTGTTAAGAGGAACATTGGCGAAAGCAAAGACGCCGAGGAGGATAGCAACACTGAGAGTGAACTTGTTGAGGCTTTCAAGGTCTATGATTTGGATGGAGATGGCTTCATTACTAGTGAGGAGCTTCAAAGCGTGTTGTCGAGATTAGGATTGTGGGACGAGCATGGTGGCCAGGACTGTAAGAGCATGATTATTGTTTATGATTCCAATTCAGACGGGGTGCTTGATTTCGAAGAGTTCAAGAACATGATGCTACTGACCAATCCATAGGAAATTCCAAACAAACGTTTGGTATTGGTGTTGTGATTGTGGTTATCTAGACTTTTGTAAGCTTTCTGTGAATAGTGCATTTTATTGGTTTTTTGCTCCTTCTATTAGCATTGCTCGTATTGTAATCCGTGACATGTGAAATGATATTGCTAGCTAGGAACATTCTAGGATTGTACATGAACGAGGTTTTTTCTTCTTCTTGTTTTTTTTTAATCATTCTGGTTTGTTTTACCATTAGATGGTTTTGCTTTTTAAAGATTTGAGAGACTCTTTCATAATCGAAGACCTTTGAGGGATATGATTTTCGGTGACCAAATAATGGGATAAAAAAAATAGGACTAAATAATGTGGTGCTCAAATGATCATGCTGATTGATGGATCCGTTCTAAGATAGTGGTTGTGACCCGTCTTTGCTAACTGGCACAGTGGTTAGTAATTCTTGATTTGTTGTTTTAACACAAAACAACTCGACGGCCAAATGAAAATAGGATGGTGGATTATATTGTAACGTTTTTATTTTTTTAAGTGAACAATATAAAAAAATTAATCATTTGAAAAGTAAATTGAGAATTTTTATATCTTTTAGGGGCAAAATGGGATTTACTGTTTTTATTATCAAGGATTTGAATGATTCAGGCAATTAATTTCAGCTGAGAAGAAGAAGAAAGAGGGGGGGGGGGGGGGGGGAAGAAGAACAGTGGAGAAAAATAAAACAAAGGGGAAAAAGAAAAGAGGATATTTAGGTCATTTTAATACTTTCTTGGAGTTAGCTGTGCAAATTAAGGGTTAAGCGACTATTTTTTGAAGGGTGTGGTCTAAACAAAGATCTAACCACATGTAAGAGGGTAAAATGAAGTTGGCCCAATATTGTATCATTCTTTGACAAGCGGGTAAAGAGAAGCTCGGCGCATAAATAGCGCAATAGTGAGCCCATCTGAGAAAGTGAGTGAGTGAGACATAGATAGAGCCTTTTGTTTATAGTTCATACCCAGTGGAGGAAGTGTAAGTCCACCAAGGGGCTGTGTGGTAAGTTGGCTTGGAGGCTTTGGAAGATAGGTTCAGAAAAAAATAGGTTAAATGACACATAAAATTTATGTTTAGCCAAAAAATTGAAGTTTGAGTTACCAAATTTGGCCTGGTATTGACACGGACCTTAAACCCTAGATCATGGGTTTCATCAAACCCATGGAGAGGGAGGGGTTTCGGATGAGGGCTAACGAATTTAAGATACAAAAAGACAATTATACATATACGTATATAAACATGAGTTTAAATTAGATTGATGAAGGAATACAATAATTATTTATATATAAATATATTTATCATAATAGTGATATATCCGTACTCATACAATACATTAGTATGAACTAAATTTAATATTGAATCTTATTTTTGTCAAAAGAAATTTGAGTTTGAAAGGATTCGAGAATAGCAATTCAAACCCTTCCTAAAAATTCATCCGAATAAGCCACGAGGAAGATGCTTTGACTGACGAGTCCACTCTGTGATTAGACTTTAGTACATAAAAAATACGGTATCCTATTTTATTTTATTTTTTTGGCAAACCACAAAATGTCGGGTGTAAAGTTTTTATTATTTTTATAATCAACAACTATAAAAAAAATTAATAAATAAAAATAACATCTACGGCTGAGAATTATTTTTTAATATAATATTAAAAAGAAAAAAGTGGGCATCATATACTTATCCGTCCACTCTATTGAGGATAGTTTTCAATGATTTTTCTCGATAAATCTAGAGACTTTTACCAAAATTCAGCAAGTGGAAGATACCAAATTCAGATCCTCTATTGAGTGTTGAAGAAAATATCTAAAGACATAATTAGTTTATATATTCGGGTTCTCAAAGTTAGATTGTCCATATTATTCACGTGAACTCTCCCTATTCGTTAGTATAAGAAAAAAAATAATGCTATGCTGACTAAATTTTAAGATCAAATCAAGAGCTAAATGACATGACAGATGACTTGATCTTTTTTATAGTGTCATGTCATATGAGCTTCAATAAAAATTTTAAATAATTAACTGTCATATCATTTAAGCTTTTAATTTAATTTTTAAATTTGATCAATATAACATTATTGCAAAGGAATTAAATGCAGGCCAAGCAAAATTAAGCATTTGGTAAAATGAGTATTCAAAGCTGGCCCCAATTGCTTTGCTTTCGGTGGGATTTTGGAACTTTAGTTTGGCCTAATCCGAGTAATTTTTACTCTCCTTTTTTTTTTTTGGTCGGAAGTAATTTTTACTCTCTGAAGCAAGACAATTTGTATCTGATGTAGAAAGATCTATAATGAAACTATCTCATAGGTATTTTTTTTTTAATTGTCAGAAGTGTTCAAGTTAGTTTATACGTATTTTGGCTATTAATCCGGTCAAAAAATAGGTGATCTATGCCGAAATTAAGGTATTTATTAGAGATAAATTTTTTATAATTTAATATTAAAAATTTATTAAAATTTAAACATCTAAATTTATGTTTCACTCTTGAATTTACAGCTCATAGATAATTATTGTGATTATTGTGTATCACCACAACAAACAAGGGCATAGCCAAGGTGGTATTACCTGCCAAGTAAATCATCCAACACACAAAGAGACACACACAAAGATGGGTGTCTTTCACATCGGAATCAATCAATCACCTGTAATGTTACACATTTTTAAAGACCCGAAAGCAATAAAAAAAAAAAAAAAGTTGAGATTACCGTTAAGATAAGGTGTACGTGCACACTTTTTAGAAAATTGTAAAAAAATAAATAAATAAAAGAATTTAGAGAAAAAAAATCAGTTTCGAACGAGGTGAAAACTTTTGTTAATTCACTTCGAGAAGAATCCGATCTCCCAATTCTTTCGCAAGAAAGTTAATCACAGATATCAACTATTTTTTTTTATTCATATGACATTTTTAAATACTAAGAGATAACACAAATTCATTTATAGCGGTTGATTTTCACTTGAATGATTTATAATTATTAATTGAAAAGCTAATAAATTAAAGATAAATAATAAAATTAAAAAAATTATGTGTCACAGTTTTATTGAATGAAAAGTTTAGATACGGTATGGAAAAGTTATCGTAGTTGGACCACTCTATAAATACCATCATTCTTTACTCTTAAGAAGCAGAACAAGCTTGTCTGTGGTAGAGAGGGAGAGAGAGGGACAGAGAGATGGCGTTGGTGAACAAGAGTGAAGACGGAGGTGATACCAGGAAGCCGGAGTTCAAACCCAAGATCGGAAGCCCGATTCCAGCAAAGAGGAAGCTAGTGAAGACGATGATGGTTGTGTTCATGGGGCAATTACTTGCTTCCCCTGTCACAAACAAGAAAAAGCTACCAAAAGATCAATCTTCCTTAATTTAAGTCTGCCAAATTTTAGTATGCATTTATCAAATACTTTAAAAATAGACTTCATGGTATTGCCCTTGTAATACTACTGAGGTAATCACTTCCTTTAGTGATGAAATATATGTTAGTGGTGCTTGTTTAGAGGAAACAAGATCTGTTAGTGATGTACTCCTCTCTCTCTCTCTCTCTCTCTCTCTCTCTCTCTCTCTCTGTGTGTTTTCTTGTGTTTAATGCATGAAATCTTTGTCTTTACTCTGATTATCAGGTTCTACAAGAAACACATTCTTATAGGCTGAAAACAGTTTGGTCATAGAGGCACTGCGAGTACAAGGCCATGGAAAGACCAAGGCCTCTTTGGTTTGGTTTGGATTTTGAAAATGGTTTTTTGTTTCCAAAATTCTAAAAATAAGGAGAAAGCTATTTGAGATGCAATTCAAACACGTCCTACCATGTCTTCGCCAAACTTTTGTCATATAGAAGTAAGGAATAATGTTATTTGAATATAAAAATTTGACATAATTTATTGATATAATGATGTGATTTAATTAAAATCATTGAATCAATACTAAGTTTCAATATTTAATAGAACTCACGATCAATTCAAAAATCATAATAAATTTGGTTAAATAGGTCCCACAACATTGTAGATCATATAATAAATAAGGTGAAAGAGGGAAAATAAAAAATGATTTATGTCTTCCTATACTATGGGAATAGAATAGATTGAAAATAATACTTTCATCTCATCTAACCTTCTCCCTAAATTAAACATGCCCTTATTGGGTTGTTATTGCATTACGATACAATGAGATAGTATTGACATATATTATCATTATATTGAATATTTATTCCAAAAGCACTACAACCGCCCCGAACACTTGAGAATGTCATTTTGGTGCAAAAATCTGTAAGATTGTTCTGAAAGTATATTATTACACAAGTAAAAACAAATGATGTCATTTATTCTACAACATATGACACAATAAATTCTGAAAGTTGAACAGAAAACAAATAAAATAATGCAAATGGAGGTGTTTTAGGATAAACATTGTGTGGCAGCTGCAATGAAGCTTTAATTGGTTACTGCTGAAAGTAAAAACGGCAGACAAGTTTTCTACCAAGAATCTAATCTTCATCTATTAGCACTCAAAAACTGTCAGATCATCGCTTTCTTTTATACGGTCACAAATATATTTACCCAATAATTACTAATATTTTTTTTAAAATTATTTATATTGTACTGTGTCTAGAATATATGGTGTTACTTGTAAATTAGTTATAAATATTTGTTCATACATAAATATAAAATAAAATACAACATTATAATAAACGACGAATAAAATGTGTCCGCTAATATTTTTATAACATCAACTTACATACATAACATATATTTTCACATTAAATTGTTATGTCATAAAAATTATGTTATAGCTACTGAAACATAATAATTCAAACATCTGAAAAAATATATCAATTAACAATATTCAATGATGTGTTTTTGATTCAAAATCCACGATTTTAATATTCATAATCAACTTTATCTAAATAATAAAAGAATTCATAACTAATAGAATGAAAATAAAAACAATACTCCCACAAATAAACTAAGTCTGCAGATGTTATCAAATGA